GTAGTACAGACTCACGTAGTACAGACTCACGTAGTACAGACTCACGTAGTACAGACTCATGTAGTACAGACTCATGTAGTACTTCTCTGTACTGTGTACCAGACGTCAGGTCATTTTTGTTGTTCCAGTGACATCTTTCCCTTGTGTGTGTGTGTGTGTGTGTGTGTGTGTGTGTCCTCTCAGTCAGGGGGAGACAACATGAACCTCTCAGACCTGCCCACCTTCACCCCCACCAACTTCCCCCCCAGTGCCTTCAACTATGAGCGACCCAGGCATTTCATCCAGTCCCAGCCGTCCTTCCAGGCGCCCAGTTACGACAGCGTGGTTCGTGACGCTCAGGAGTACCAGAACGCAGACCCACCGGGTCAGGGCCAGGGCAGGTCCACACCGGGTCACTCGGCCTCTCGGAGTCAGTCTGTGTCAAAGTCCTCGTCACGGTTTGAGTCCATGAACCAGATCCAAAGCCAGTTCACGGCTCAGACTGGCCACCAGAACCAGACCAACGGACTGGTCAAGTCTTCTCCTTCTTCTGGTCTCAGCTCTCCTGTCCCCTCCTCCTCCTCCTCCACATCTGCCCTCTTTACTCCCGTGGTCTGCACCTCCTCGTCCTCAGCACCGCGTACGACCGTGCGTTCGACCATCACTCTCACCCCCAACGTGCCCAGCGCCACCGGTCTGGGCAGTGCCACCCTGCCGGCCAACCAGGACGGCATGTCTGCCCCCGCCGCTTACCTCTGCTCCGTGCTGCCCTCCCAAAACGCCTTCCCTTTTTCATCCTCCAAACTCTCCCCCAACTCCAGCCTTCCTCCTCCCTCTGTGTCCCCCCCCCGCTCCCCTCTGTCTCCATCCTCCTCCTCTTCCTCCTCCTTCCAACAGCTCAACAGTCAGAACAGAGTACAACCTGCAGTGGTCTCCCTGCCCGCCCACTACAAGGGGTCCCCCAACACGTGAGTCTGACAGGAAGTGACAGTGACGTAGAGAGGAAGTAGCTCCAAATCAAAGATACGATCGTGTCGTGTCGTGTCGTGAGCGAATGGTTCGATATCTTTGTTTTGGAATTAAAAATTCAAGGCCGGTCGTGTTTCTGTCTGTTGCCTGACGTCCAGTACAGTGACCCCTCTCCTCCTCCTCCTCCTCCTCCTCCTCCTCCTCCTCCGTCTCACAGCCTCCCTAAACCCATCCTGAAGAAGTCGGTGGCTCCGCGGCCGTCCTCCTCCCGCTCCACGGACGAAGACATCCAGGGCTCCAAGGACGCCCTCATCCAAGACCTGGAGAAGAAGCTGCGCACCAAGGAGGCCCGGAGGAGGAGCACTCAGGTGTGTGTGTGTGTGTGTGTACGGGTGTCATCTCTCTCTGTGTGTGTGTGTGTACTCACACCAGGACGTCTTTGGTCTTTTGGACAGAAACTGTCGTACGAAGAGCGAATGGCGCGGAGGCTGCTGGGTCCAGACAACGTCAGCACCGTCTTTGACCAGGACCGTCTTTCAGACTCACAACTGGACCAGGTGTGTGTGTGTGTGTGTGAGTGTGTGTGTGTGTGAGTGTGTGTGTGTGTGAGTGTGTGTGTGTGTGTACCCACACGAGGACGTCTTTGGTCTTGTGGACAGAAACTGTCGTACGAAGAGCGAATGGCGCGGAGGCGGCGGGGTCCAGACAACGTCAGCACCGTCTTTGACCAGGACCGTCTTTCAGACTCACAACTGGACCAGGTGTGTGTGTGTGTGTGCGCGCTGGGGGATTGTCTTGTCAAAAAAAACACATGTTCTCCATGTCACACACACACACACACACACACACACTCACACACACACACACACACACTCTTGTCTGTGTGTAGTTCAGCAGTTATTTCTGGTCTACTTTCTGAGAACAGGCCTTAGTGACAGGTGACAACAAGGATATTGTGTTGGAACACACACACTCACGTGCACACACTCACGTGCACACACTCACTGTATGGTTGTTTTTTTTCTAACTTTCTTTTCTTTTACAGCCAGATTCACCGGAGGGAAAACACACAGGTGGACTGTGGTAAATACACATGGTGTCACATGGTCAGTCACATGGTCAGTCACATGGTCAGTCACATGGTCAGTCACTGCAGACACAGGAGCAGCTGATGAACCTGACACACTGTAGTTACAGAAACAAACAGGGTGCAGGAGCAGGAGCAGCCTGGTGGAGGCAGTAGTGAGCTAATCACATGGAGATCAGCTGTTGTTGTTGTTGTTGCTGTTGCTGTTGTTGTTGTTGTTGTTGTTTAGACAGTCAACTGTCAACACCTTCGTCTCACTCTGACTGAAAGCCACCAACTGGGGATATATTTCCAGTTATATTTTTATATATTTTCCTTAACATTTTTCAGTGTAATAAATGATGAATCACGATAACTGATGATGATGATGATGATGATGATGATGCTGAGGGATCATGACTCACCCACAGGGGGAGACATCACTCAGGGACAGATGAGAGAGGTAACGAGGGCTCAGCTATCCAGGAGAAATGCTATGCCCCCCGCTTCCTGCAGATCCCCCCAGACCTGACTGTGGAGGAGGGGCGCTTCTGTAGGGTTGACTTTGAGGTGAGGCTGACACACACACACACGGACACACACGGACACACACACACACAGCTGCAGCTCTGTTAACACAGCTGTCTCCTGGTAGGTCGGGGGTCTCCCCACACCAGACGTCTGCTGGTACCTGGATGGTAAAGCCATTCGTCCAGACGACTACCATAAGATGTTGGTGTGTGAGAAGGGGCTGCACTCCTTCATCATAGAGATCGTCACGGTGCACCACGCCGGCGTGTACGAGTGCGTGGCCAAGAACCGGGCCGGAGAGAGCCGGTTCTCCATGAGGCTGGACGTCATCGGTAATCACAGCTCTGAGTCATCACTTGGTGTGTTTAAAAAGGTTACGTCACCTCCTCTGCTCCTGTAGCCCAGGAGCTTCTCCGTCCTCCCACCTTCGTCCAGAAAATGTCCAACTCCCGAGCACTAGAGGGCGACACTGTGAGATTAGAATGTAAGGTGGACGCCTCCCCTCCACCACAGCTGTTCTGGAAGAAAGATAAGGACATGATGCGCCTCGATCCCACCAGAATGAGGTGGGTCTCACACACACACACACACACACACTCTCATGACAAAATGATATAATCTTTTTAAAATTGAAAATCTACATGTCATAATAAGAAAACAGAGTAGAATAAAAAAGTAGACAGAAATATTTTGAGCGTTGAAGCCCAGAGAGTATACGCTGGGAGCATTTTAATGAGAGTACAATGTTAGAGTAAACAGAGTACTTCACTTAGTCCAGTGTAGTAGAGTATAACTAGTACAAATGGACATTATATAAGATTGAAGTGGAGCTCATTTCTTCTTTATTTGGTTGGTGATGAATGTGTGTCTGTGCTCAGTCTGTACCAGGACGGTTCAGGACGTCAGTGTCTGTTGATAGAGAGGGTGCTGAAGTCTGATGCTGGATGGTACACGCTCTCTGCCATCAATGAAGCTGGCATGTCCACGTGCAACGCCAGGCTGGATGTCAGCGGTGAGTCTGACTTCTCATTGAACACACGCTGCGTCATGTGACCAGGCGGAGACACAATGACAGGATCAAAGCTCTCTTCACCAACCTGTCTACATGACAGCCAATCATGTCAGGCAAAACAAAAAATAGGTTCTTGGGTTTCTGCTTCATCACACCACCTGCTGCATGAAGGGGGCGCTAACAGGACTGTTACAAAAGTAGTCAGCTGATCAGCAAACCTGAAGTTGGTCTGAGAGGAACAGGAAGCTCACGTTGTTCCCTGAGGACATCAATATTATATCAAACCAGACCAGACCAGACCAGACCAGGTGAGCTTCACAGACCATGTCAGTTGGTGAGCTTCACAGACCATGTCAGTTGTTGGTGAGCTTCACAGACCATGTCAGTTGGTGAGCTTCACAGACCATGTCAGTTGGTGAGGTCACAGTTTGACTGGAGGTGGTTTGAATTTCTAAATAACTGTGATCAAATCCAGTCGTGATCATGTCAGATTGTGTGGTTACGTCCCTGCAGGGAACTGAAAAAATGTCAACTTTTAAATAACTCACCTTGTCTTGTGTCTTCATGTCCCCCCCCCCCACCCCACCCACCGATACGACATGTCTGTACA